ACAATTCCTTTTGTACTAAAAGTACCCATCAATAATTTTCAGCTAACTGGCTGCTGACCCTCATCTACGGTCAGACCTACGGACCGTTGATCGAATGAAGGTCCGTGCTGGTCGACCATAGTTTGTTTCAGAGGCTGGGTAAGGGAAGTCTCGATCCACGGACACAGACCCACGGACCGTGGTCTGATCTACGAACCGTGGGTTTGTCCATGAGTCGGGACTTAGCCAATTTTCTGAGCTGGGTCTGGGAGGGGTTTTAGTGTTGAACCACGGACCACCAGCACGGGCCGTGGTCTGACCTACGGTCCGTGGATGGCAACCGTGGGTTGCACCTGAAACTTCTCAAAATCTGCATTTTTGGTCTGTTTCGAATACGGGGTGTTACATTACTATATAAACATTTCCCTTTTGTTTTACTTATTTACTATATCTTAATATTTTTGAATTTTAGACGAAAAAAAGTTCATATGACTTGTAATAAGGCCAGTTAAAGTTTGTATTAGTTTAATTTTTATTCTTTATTTAATTGCTAATTTTATGAGATAAATATTTTTATTAATGCAAATATATATTTATTAGTTCACCTGCTTGCATACAGTCCCCTGAAAATTGTAATCACGTACTTTACACCACTAATCAACTTTGTTTCTTCCCCGTGAAGCATTACTTATATAGCCTATTATTGATTCACCTGCTCACATACAATCCCCTGGCAATTTAAACACATACTTTATATTTATATGTTACTTCTAACCTTAGTTTAGCCGCACTTTACATATTAATGATACCCTCTTTTATGCATCAAATCCCTGCTTAATCATGCAGATTTCGACCATTTGCCGCCCTCATCAATGGTACTAATATACAATAACGCCAAGAATTAACATTGTCACTCAATGGTAGTCATCAAGCTCCAACCCACATGTTGACTGAAATTGAACTAGCAAAATGGAATGTACCAATAAACAAGATACAAAAACAGTCCGTCAATTCGGTGATGAGAGTCTTAGTTATTTGAAGGGGTTCAATAATACCTTACAAGAATTCAAGGCATGAAGGGACTTTCAGAACAATAATATTAGTTAACGAAGAGGTAATAACATTGACATTTTTACTTACCTCATTATTTTATTGTTCATGTTTATTGTACTTATATCCCCACCCCTTTGCACAATAATAGGTACAAAAATTCAAGCAACGCTATTTAATAAACATATCGAAACATGGAAGGACTCCTTGAAACAAAATAAGAGTTACTACATTCCTAAAGGACGCTTAGATCGCATCAACCCCAACTACTATTCCATACATAAAGAAGTTTAATTGGCATTTACAGATAACACAATCATAAAAGCGGCTGACATTGAGGTTTCAACACACACATTCTCTGTTGGCTTTGTATCATTGGATCATGTCGATAAATTACCTAATGGTGCTATTCTAGGTAACTATCCACCCAAATAATTTGTTATTTAATTTCATGTTGCATTACGTAATTGCTATCACTAATTTACATTACCTATTCTAAAATTTGATTTGTGTTTTAGTTTCAATGAATCCCCTCATTCAAAAAGAATATAGCAAGAGACGGGAGATACTTGTTACAAATGAGCAGTATGTTTTGAAGATTCTTAATCTACCACCAATATAGAGATATGGTGAAGTATTGACATTTCGCTTCTACCTGATAACCCAACATGGAGCATACAACTGTTACTCTATGAGAAGATTTTGCAGAAAATGACGGTGTTTTTCTAGAAAAGATGAAAGATGATAAACCTATACTTGGCTTATGTGACGTTAGAATCTCAATCTATAAAAGTATTGGCCATACTACTTTATGTTTTTATAATAAACTGAGTATAGTTGTTGTTTCAAATTTGAAACAAGTTCTTGTCACACTAGGCACTTTTGAAATATCTACTATTTCCATGCGTAGCGTCTTGATCAATCCATAGTTTCAAAAATCCACGGACCTGGTACATTACATTAATCACACATATGTTCTGCAATGTTATTAAACTCGATTGTCACAACTAATGTACATACTATACTTTTGTATTGTAGGCAGGTTACTTTTAAAGTTTCTATAACATGACACAATTGTTCTATTATCATTGTTGAGTTATTACATGCTAAAATTCCTAAGTTCCCAAAAACTTTGCACCGAGCACATCTCACTCAAAATTGGTGATACAGTTAACTAATCTCATCGAAAATACAGGCGTGAAATGGTAAAGGCCGAAAATAAAGATTTTATGGTAACATCAAGTAAGGATATATGAGAAGAGCCATAGAAGTTTCGTTGATATATATATTATGGATTGATTGCTAGCTTATTCACAAGTACATACTATCCTATACTTCTACTCTCTAAAAATAATAACCATTTTAATATCAGAAATATAATCACAAAGATGAGCCGTGGTATTCGTCTTGCAAAAAGTGCAGCAAAAAAGTGAAAGTCATAGAGCATATTGTATCTTGTAACAATTGCGACAGTGAGAATGTAGAATATGAAATGAGGTTAGACTTAGTAAAAACTCCATTCTACATTTTTTTTTTTGATGACAAGGGAAACCCGCAGCCGCTACCCTTTGGGTGCGCACAGGGTAAAACCCCCGCTCCTATGCAATAGCTCGCAAACCACATAGGAGAGGTAACCCGCACTAGGCATTTACTAATTAGAAAATAAATTAACTTTAACTTTTAGATGACTCCCCTTTTTAAACAGATACTGCTTACGACTTGAAGTGCGTGGCGGAAACAACGTGCTCGAGCTATACTATTTGAGGCGGCTAAATATTTACTAGGCTGTAGCGTGCAAGACTACATAGAATCGACTTTAGTAAAAATATGAACTGTATTTATACCTAAACACCTTAACACCCATTGGACTTCGCCGCATAGGTACGTTGTCTAATTCGTCCTAATTTTTACAGTTCATAGCACAAAAGAAAAAAAAAAGAATTACCCGATTACATATACATAACAATTGATGATTCTGTTAATTTTATACATTAGGTTAGTTTTGAAAGAAAGTGCGTCCATCATGCTGCTAAGAAAACTGGACCCCTCAAATGGCTTATGCAATGGGACATGGTTGATTTGTAGAGGCTCTGGCGAGAATGTCATACATGTAGAAAAAAAACAGGTCAATATGCCACAAACCATGTGTTTACTCCAACAATACAACTATCACCCTCCCTCCACCCGCGAAAATGAAGGATACCCTTTCAAATTTATTCGGAAAAAATTTCTAATGCTTCTATGTTTTTGCAATGATGATAAATAAAGCTAAAGGTCAAACGATGTCAAATGTAGGAGTATACCTACCACAACATGCTTTCTTGCATGGTAAACTATACGTTGCACTATCTAGAGAAATATCTATGCCAACAAAAAAAATGCATGTCATGACTGAACAACCAGATTGATGCACCGAGAGATACACAAGAAATACTGTCTACAAGAAAGTATTCGGTGAAATTTGATTAATACCAAAATTGTAAGAAATCAAACAGGAAAAAACAAAAGGCAACATATAGTTCTAATGTTGGACGAATTCTTAGGTTTGGTGGAAGAGGAGATGATATGAAAAACACCAGACAGCTACCACATAAGACATTACTTTGGTGTATATAAAGTTATTCAAATACAGGGTACACTTTATTACAAACAATAAAAGGGAACATACAATTCATGACACGACATAACTAAGAGGAAAAACTGTTAATTCGTGCACAATTACTTACTAACAAATTGCCTAATAACAATTTAAGAATACGACGTTCGTCAATACATGCCCAACAAGCAATAAAAGGCAAATAGATTGGCCATTCACTTAGTATGACATAGTGCAATATTAAATACATATGTATATGTTGAAAGCCTAAAATATACATAAAAAGATAAAATATCTCGTGTATAGGGATCACAGGACTTGATCTACACGTGCAACGCGTTGCACGTGCAGTGAATCTAGTTTATTTAAAAGTACCAAAAGTATTTGATTTTTATTTAAATACTAAGAATGCAGGAATGAAATAATAAAATTACTTACAGTGATTTGGAAAATTCCAAGGTTGCAACATGTATAGATTTCATGTATCACATCTCATGCATGAACTAACTACGGTTATCAAATTACTGATTTACAGGATTGATTTTATGATTATGGTCTCCCGACCTCTAATCGCCTACTCCAATTAGCTGTCTAACTACATCGTTGAGCGGGGATAGACAGTCCTAATTGGCGAGCATTTATATTTCATCATGTTTCGTAACCAAGCTAGGTGTTCGTCCCGGCATCACTCCTAAACACAAATCAACTCAATTTAATGGAAGATCAAGCTTTCTGTATCCTTTGGTCTATCTATCTTAGCGTCTCCCGAGTATAAGAATAGATAAGAGATTTATCTCTATGATGGCTAGTCAAGAAATACTAAAACAAGAACACAAAAGTAATTTAAAGTGATAACCAACATTAATTCAAAACAATCGATGTTCAACAATTACCCATAGGCCATAGCTATAGTCCCAGAACAAGGGTCTTTAGCTACTAATGTCTAATAAAAGAAGGAAAAATAACCTTAAAAAGTATTGACAGCTTTATACTTGATGTCCTCTAATTCCTCACCTAAAATAATTATTTTTATGGACTATTTATAGATATAGAAAACCCTACATAAAATAATTGAATCCAAAACAAATTGAGAAAACAAAAAAGATTCAGTTTCCTAGTTGTACGCGTATTCTATATTATGTAGCCGCACTTTCGCCACCTTCAACTATTTGGGAATACTTCACATGATGCCACGTGGAAGTAAGACTAATATCAATTGTCTTTCTTTGGTTGTCTGCGCAAATTGTATAAATATGTAATATTTAATTTAATTCATTAAGTTGTTTGCTTAATTTCCTTCTATAATCTTCTATCTTTAATTCATTTCAGAATTTCCCATTCTACACCTCACTCAAAAGTCCCTCAAAGGACCCAATCAACCACAACTAGAATTGTCATACATGATTTTGAATTAACAAACTATTCATAGGTTTTATGCTTTCATTTAGCACTTTGGGTTTTGTCACCAATAGTCAAAACAAGAGCATGAACCCAGCTTGAAACGGTGAAAGCGATTACGATCTCTAATTACAATTTCTCTATTGTAAACTTTGGAAACAATCTTCATGGCTGAATGACAATCTTGGCATATCCTTAAATTCTTGAAAATGTAAATAGGCATGCCAGCTTGTGTACTTATGAGTCCAAAACAAACAGCCAGCTTCTCACTGTGAGAGAACAAAGCCTGTTCCTTCTCCTCCTGGCCGTAACCATAACAGTATCCATCATCAGATCCTGAGAACTTTTGGCAGGCTGTGTCTGGTGCATAACCAGCCAATCTTATTTTTCGAATCATCTCATCCAACATCATATATATCTCTTGACTTTGCGGATGCAATTTATCCCCTGCACTGAAGCAATGGATTTGACCACCAACATAAATAGAACTAATGCCAGGCACTTTTCTAACACCTCTGCTTCTGAGAACTACTCGAATAGAATTTGCCTTGTCATTTTTTCCAGCTAAAGAGTACATATTTGAAAGCAAAACATGATACTCGGTATTATCAGGATACATTTGGACCAGCTCTTTAATTAGGCACTCCCCCAGCTCGAGGTTCTTATGGACACTGCAGGAGCCTAATAGTGATCCCAACACAACTTCATTGGGGGGAATCGTCATTACCCTTATTATGGACTCTGCTTCTTCAAGGTATCCTGCCCAACCCAAAAGATCCACAATGCAAGAATAGTGCTCTATAGAAGGCTTTATTCCATATGTTGATTCAAGGCTATAGAAAAAATGTCGACCTTGATCAACCAAACCTGCGTGACTACAAGCACTTAATATAGCGGTAAATGTTACATCATCCGGTTTGACCTCTCTGATCATCTGACCAAACAAATCCAACACCATATCTCCGTTTCCCTGCATTGCCAGTCCACTAAGCATAGCATTCCATGTAATCACATTCCTTCGAGGCATCACAAGGAAAACTCGAAAAGCATCATCAATCCTGCCACACTTAGCATACATATTAATCAAGGTTGTTGCCACAACTATATCTATTTCATGTTATATCATCTTCAAAGCATACATGTGTACCCATTTACCCACCAAAACATTCCCCGACTGTGCACAAGCTGATAACAACGAACTCAAAGTTACAAAATTCAATTCAAATCCAGATTCAAACAACATTTCACGTAGAAGCCCAAAAGCTTCCTTCGTTAAACCATTCTCAATATACGCTGCAATCATTACTGTCCAAGCTACTTCATTCCTCTCAGGCATCTTATCGAACAACAACCTCGCATTTTCAAAACCTTCCCACTTCACCACTCCCCCTAAAACCACAGTCCAAGAAACAACACTCTTTTCTCCCATCTCACTAAAAATCCTTCTTGTTTTATCAATTAACCCACACTTCACATACATATCCATTACAGCATTACACGCTTTAATACTCGAACTAAAACCCATTTTTACCATACAAGCATGTCCCTGAACGCCAAACTGTTCACACCCCATTTTGGCGCTTGCAAGGAATACAACCACCATAGTATACTCATCAATCAAAACATCACTCTTCCTCATATGAACAAACAAGTTGAGGCCATCAAGAGGGAATCCCCCGCGAGCATAGCACCCCATTAATGTTGTCCAGTCGACAGTGTCTTTGTATGAAAGAGGAATTTCATCAAACACCTTACGTGCATAGAGAACAGACCCACACGCTGCATACATGTGGAAAATAGCATTACGAAGAAATGTATTTTGACAAGTTACAAGACCTGTGGTGACGATGGAAGCGTGGAGCTTCTTACCAACGTCCAAAGATGAACATCTATCGCAAGTTCTGAAAAGGGTCCGATAATGGCGAGCCAGCAGTGAAAGAGTACACTCTGTTTGCCATATCATGAGAAAGCTACTAGTGTACTTGTTTCACAAATGAATCTAAATTCAGCATATAAATAATTGTAATGAAATATTACAAAGTTTCGGCCCGATTTCGGTGCAAATCATTAAGGTCCAAAGTTTTACAGTTTTTTTCAAACAGTGCACTAGTGACTGGAAGTTTGGAGTGCACAAATTGATGAAAGAAAGGCTTTTAATTTATTTCTCTTCTCTATGTTAAGCCCACAAATGATGTTTCTTAAATAGACGTATCATTTATGTTTTTCATTTATCATAAGAATGTAAAAGTTAAAGTAAAATTAATGTAATGAAATATTATTCTACAAAATTGTCATAATGCAAAGTAACTTTTAAGTTTCTCATGAATTCATATCTTCTCATTCTAAAGTTACAAATTAATAAAGGGGCACTTGAATAAATGTGAACCATTTATAAAGAGGTAATCTTCCTATTATATATATATATATATATATATATATATTTACAACCTAAGAATGTTTACGTAGATTAATTATAAAATGTTATTATCCTTTGCATTAAATAAAAAAATATCCACAATCCAAGACTAGTGCAAAAATAAAGAATAGGAATAATTTTTGGGAGCAAAAAAATAAAAACATGTACTTAAATATCTATATCTATATTCTATAATACCTTAAAAGCATGAACTCCTAGCTTGAATGTTAAATTACTATAATATCCCTAACTTAGGTTGTGACTTTT